TGAGATGACCTCTAAGTCGAGTGTCGTGAGCCTCATAGAGGATACGGTATTTTAAATCGTAATTGTGAGAAACCACAATTCGTGGCCTATCCATCGAATCGATGCTTTAATACAGCAACTCTTTTTCCAGCGAATATCGGTGTAACCGCGCGCAAACGCGCCGACAATTTTTGTCCGAGTTTCCAAATTCCTTGCTCCCGGGAGCCTGTAGCAGCGCTACACACATACCATCACCCGCGTATGCGGCGCGAATCAAATTCGTCACTGACGACGTCACCGTCGTAAAATGAACAAACTCATGATCTGGTCAGCGAGACAACGCATCAGCGAAAGCATACTGCTTTCCTGGCTTATATTTCACCTTAAAGCTATGTACTGCGAAGAATGAGAGCCACTTGGCCATCCTCTGCGAGAGGTGAGGCGACTGAGTTGCAGTGCGGATTTGCGCATTATGTGTGTAGATTACAAACGGCTTTGAGCCGAGCAGGTGCACCCTGAACTTGACAAGTCCATACTTCATCTCAATTCTTTCTTGTCGTGGACTGGGTAGTTCCTCTCCGCAGCCTTAAGCTCGCGAGATTCGATCGCGATCACCCGATCTCGCTCTTCGGCGTCTGCTTGCAGCAGTGCACAGCGAATGACAAAGTTCAAAGCGTCACTGACGACAATAAAAGGACGATCGGGGTCTGGCAACGCCAGTATTGGTGCATAAAGGAGGCTGTCTTTGACCCTGTTGAAAGCTCCCGATGCTCGGTGTCCCAACTGCCATTTCTGTATAAATTGCGCTTTATTTGCGCAATTAGTTGGCAGGGTCAAGCCACTTGCGCGAGTCCTTTTGGTTCTTTGGAACCGGCCAGTCCACAAAAGCCTTGACCTTAGCGGGATCCGCTCTAAGGCCACGCGTCCCAATGAAGCGCTCTTGAAAGATATTTTCTTCCGCGCCAAAGATGCACTAATACCATTCCATATCCTCATTAAGGAAATTCGATAATGGCCGTGCCATTTCCGCATAATTTGCGCTATACTTGTGCATGTAGTCGGCGAGACCAAGCCACTTGCGCAAGTCTTTTTGTTCATTGGAACCAGCTAGTCCACAATGGCTTTGACCTTGGCGGGATCTGCTCGAAGGCCACGGTTTTCAATGAAGCACCCTGAAAAGGGGGGATTTCTCTAGCATCAAAAATGCACTTGTCTGCATTAGCTTACTAATTATTCGTGCTCATGCACTCGGGCACAGCTCTCAAATGGACGACGTGGCTTTCTTCATCCGTCCTCCCGTGCTCCACACGACTGTGGACGAAGATATGGTCGAAGTATGCCTATGCATACGCCTGGTGGAGCTTAACTGCGTCACAACACGATTAAATGTTGCTCGTGCATTTGACAGCCCTTGAAGCATCACCAACTACCCCCAGAGCATTCTGCTCGTATTACTCACCGCTGTCAGCGGAAT